TCTAAAGGATTTGTTTTCTTTGTATGCACAGCTGTTTGGCTTTTCTCTCCTGACCCAAGAGAGCGCTGGAGCTGGAGCCACCGCAGCCGTAGCAGTGCAGGGGACACAGCCCTGTAGTGATGTGGGTTGGGTTCTTCCTGAGGTCTGGTGGTTCTGTCTCATCTCAGTCTTGTAGGGGGGTTTGCTATTGGCCATCATGAGACTAAGACAGTCTTCTCATGTGGGCTGGGCTTGGGTGTGCAGGAAAACTAGGAACGACTGTTACAAATACTCCACCAAGGATGTTCCTACATACCATTTGAGCCTTTCAGGTCAATTATATGTCTTGAAATTTCATTTGTGAAAAGTAACTTCAGCATACTCACGCTGAAGGTAAACTTATTTTTTTCATTCAGTTTTTCAGGCTGGTACACTGGGGAAACTGAAAACCAAACCAAAGCCTGTCATATTTTACCAGAATACTTTGACAATGTGAAAGCCTTGGGCTAGGAGTCATTTTAATGCTCAGTTTTCCTTTGTAACTTTCAGTGTCATACTTTGGTTTGTGCTTTTGAGGTTTTGGGTTGGTTTATTGCTGTTTTTTCTGCCTTTTTTTCCTTTTGGCCCCCTGTGCTGATCTGAAATGTCTGCCACAGGATTGTGTGTGCCTACTGCTCCAGACTCCCGGTGTTTCCTTCCTTTAACTTGACCTCAGTGCAGTTCTTCAGTAGCAGCAGTCTGGGTTTTTCTTTCTTGTGCTGCTCACGTTCTTACCCAGACTCACAGAGTGGCTAGTTGGAAGGGACCTCTGGAGGCTGTGATTTGGCCACCTCTGAGAAGCAGGACCCTTGCCAGCAATCAGTTGAGTCCATCATAGCTTCAAACAGCTGAGTCTGAGACCTCCAACACCTGCTAAACTGAAAGTGAAAATAGATGTGTGGTCTGGGACTTCTGATCTTTAGTTCTGAGTGACAGAAATATTCCTGAGGAGCCTTTCCTTGGAATTTTCACCACCTGGATAGCAAATATTATATCCAGCACTCAGAAAGGAGTGTTGTGCAAAGAGGGTGTCTTCGTAGCCGAGTGAGTAGTGCTCTGATTTCTGGCATGATGACAAGAGAGCAGCTCCAAATTCCTCTGGTGGGTCACAGGCAGGTTTTATCTGCCACTAGACAAAAGGTGGAACAGTTTTTGCTCTGGGTTTGACACTGCTTATAGCTGCGTGGTAATGTTTGATCCAACTCATGTATGGCAAGGCAACTCTATCCCTTCTCCTTGTATTAAACTTTCATAGTTAAGGAGTTCTGTGCAGTAGAAAAAGGCAATTCATGCCTGCCAGGTTGAATTTCTGCTCCTTTTTCTGGAGGTGAGGGAAAAATTGTGTTCATCAGTGCACTTAATAAAACACCAGTACTCCATGTGGCACAGAGGTGGTGACGGACCACCCGCTGACATCTCTAAACACTTAAATTAGCTGACTTGTGCCCTACTTAGTTTGAATGGATACAGCTCATCTGTGCTCTTCACTATTTTTTTTTCACTTCCCCACAATCAGGTTTGCTGCTCCCACTTGAAGGTTTTTTTGGCTCTTGATTTTTGCAGTGGATCTGTTATTTCAGGCTAGTAGGCTGTGAGTTTGGGGGCAGAAAATTTTTACTTGCATTTTGGAAGCCCTGGTTGTGCTTGATTGTATGGCAGCCTAAGGGAGATTTTGTGCAGATATAAATTGTCTGGCAGCAAGTTATTTTCTGGTAATAATTTTTTTCTCAATGTAAATTGTAACCTCTCACATGGTGGTTTGATATATATGCTATTTCCATTAATATTCCTTTGGAAACTAAGGGATGCTTCAGAAGGTGCTCCTGGAAACTGCATATTCTTATTTTGAATTCAAAATTTATTTTGTATTTGCAAATTTAAAACCTTTTATTCTTGAATTCACTTTGTATGTCCACCTTTTTTGTTTATGGCTGCCATTTGAGCAATTTCATGTCACACCTTATAAAACTTGTTTTTTTTTTTTGCCTGGACTGTTGTGCTGATAGAGTAGGGTGCAGTTACAGAGTGAGGTTGTTTTGTTGCTAGCAAATCCAACCTAATTCTTCCTTAAAATCATTACAGTCTCATTTGAAACAGTGGCAGGTAGCCCTGTGGGGGGGTTGTTTCAGCTATGATGGCTACACTCTGTCTGCTTTTTTTCAGCTTGAGTTCGTTCCTAACCAGTTTGGGATAAGTATTTTGCTGTAATTGTCCTGCTAAATTTGTCTTATTCCTGGTTTTTGTATCCTGTTACCCTTCCTGTTGTTCAGAGAGCAGTCCTATTTCCTCTCAAACATCCTTCTGAACTGAACAAGCAAAGAGTTTTTCTTTTTGTCTGAACTTGTCTTTCTTATGTTTCAATCAGTCAAAAAAATCAGTTTTGTAATAAAGTGACCTTGGACTTTACATGATTTATCTTAAGGAAGGACCAGATTTAACCTCTCCCAGACTGCTGCAAGACATGGCCTAAAATTATTGTGTTAGGAAGTCTCAAGAATCTCAAAATTAAATTTCATCACATGGTTATAGAAAATGAAAATGACTTCTTAGCAAAATACTCAGCTGAATCCAGAGGGATTCTTGGCCCCCGCTGCAGTTGGAAAGCTGGTTTTTTTGGAAGGAAGGAATGCGTGATATTTTTATTTTATTATTTTAGTAAATATTTGCATTTCCCCAAAACATAAAGAAGTGGCCAAAATGATCAGTTACCTCTGAAATGGTTTATACTAAAGATGTAATGTTGTTTACTTATCCTAGATCTGGAAAAAGGGAAAGTATTCAGGACCTGCAGGGCACCAGGAGCAGAGCATTGCTCAGCTTCTCTCTCAGCAAGGAAAACTCCTGAATCATCTGGGTGAAATTTGGACATGATCAAACTGAATTCCCCTTTCATGCCTGTGTTTAAAGACAGTCTGCAGCCCAATACCTATACAAGACATGTATTCTTGTTAGAGGTTCTAGGATTTTATGTGACTGTGATGTTTTCAGTAGAAGGCCTGATGGGAGTAGAGTGCTCTTGGGTGTTTGCTGCCCTTGCCTGGTCTGGGTGGTGCAAGTGATGCTGTTTCCATGACAGCTGCAAGCTTGCCACCAACATACTGAGACCCAGCATCCCTGTGGGGTGCTCATACCAGTTTACTCCCTTGGTCTTGGAACTCTTCTGCGGAGCCAGGGGTTGGGGAGAAGGGGAGCCTGGGAATGGGGTGTGGGAGCAACCTGGAGAGGAGCTGCCTGGGGTGAGGGCTGCAAAAGAGGCTGTAGAGATGGGGTACTGGCTCTGCATCCCAAACAAAGCCCACACTGATGTGCTGTAGGATTCTTGGTCACTGGCCATTTTGCTTGCTTGTTTGTTTTTTTCAGAAGGTTTAAACAAAAAAAATCTTCATGGGAGGAACAGAATTACTTCAAGCCTGTCCTCTGTGATGCTTGTGAGGACATCAAGTCAGGTTTGCTGCTATTTAAGGTGACCCAGGTGCTTTGGGGTCAGTGCTGAGAGAGCCTGGGGGCCCAGCCTTTGGAGCCAGTCAGGTTTAGGAGCAGCGTGGGGGATCCTGAGCCCTCCTGTGAGAGGATGGAGACCTGCAGATCCTGCCCAGCAGGTCATGCTGTGCAAAGCTCCTAAGCCTGGTGAGCCTCAAGGTGCAGAGGAGCTGCAGGCGTTGGTGGGGACTGGAGTGAGGAGAGGGGCTGTTTCCATCCCAGCCCCATCTCCTCTTGCCTCAGTCTCTCTGCGTCAGGGCATGTTTGAGGTGTAAAAAATAACAAGCAGTTCCACTGCCTCGGTTTCTGAGAGGCACAGATGTTGGCTCATCTGAGGCCCTGTGAAAACATGCCAGTGTTTTTGCAGAGATCTGTGGGAGACCTGCTTGTGGGTGGTGATTTTTGTTGTTTATTTCTCCTCCTTGTTGTAAAGGGTCATTGCAGCATCAGTTTTCTCCTTTATCTCTGTTGCTTGGCCAGTAGCAGCCACAGAGCTCCGAAGACTCAACTTAAAAAGCAACAAGAGCGTTTAGAAAGTTTAGGGGAAATTACTCTGAAATGGAGCCTAGAAGTGGCTGTATCAGTTTATGAAAGACACTGACATGTTTAAAACCATCTATCCTGTTGGTTTTGGCTCTTGCTAAAAGTGGTAGGGTTGTTAGAGCTGGGATGTGTTAAAATATGTGCATGGGACAAAGCTGGTGTAGCTTAGTGATCCCCTTCTTTATTAGAGTAATTAATACTGCTGAGGAAACCACTACTTGCCTGAGGCTTTACCTATGTTCTTATATTTAAAGAGATCTACTTTGTCTGCCTTGAAACCTTGCTTTTCTTGTAGCAACTCACTGTGGGATAGAAGTGCTTCAAATTTTTCTTTGAAGAAAATCTCTGTATTTAGATGTATGTGAGAAAAACCTGTAATACAAAGCAAAATCAATACTGCTAACAGATTTCTCCTAGCACTAGGAGTCTTCTCTGTAAAAGAGAAACAAACCCCCCAAAATCCCAACCCCAAACAAAACAAACAAACCCCAAAACAGCACAAAAACCCCAACCAAACCCCCAGAAGTTACTTCTCCAGAGTGAGTTTGTCTTACAAGGGTGTTTATGGTTTTATGAATTGTGCAAAACAATGCTGCCTTTGGAGTTCAATGCTCGGTATCATTGGGCAATTGAAGAGAGAAATATAATTTATACCTACAGCAGGGCTCCTATTTTCTTACCACAGGAGAGTAGAAATGCACATTTTAGGGTTCCTTTATTGTCCTTATCATTTCAACCTTGGAAAGACAGACCTAAAAGTACTGGCAGCAAAGGAAGCTGGCAGGAATTATTCCAGTATTTTACACTATACTCCAAAATGAGGCCATGGAAGGGGATAAAATGAACAAGTTGGTAAGCACTGGACCAGCTGGGCTTTCCTGGCTTTTCCATTTGTTTTTTTTTTTTTTTTTTTTTTGACAGAAGAAGCTAAATAAACTGGGCTTGATCTCTCTTTGTAGGTGAAGTCTGTGATAAATCTGCTGTTTGCTGCCTACACGGGGGACGTGTCTGCACTCCGGAGGTAAAGATTGGCGTGGGTTTGGGAATAGAAAGGCTGCTTGTCTGGTGCCTGTTTTTCACTCAGGAATATGCACGTATGCTGTCTGTGTTTGGGACATCTGAGCTGCACTGGAGATTGAAAATATTCACCCAAAACCCACCAATAAAAAAAAAAACCAACAAACAAACAACCCCACAACCCATAACTAACCATCCAAAAGGTACCCTGACACTGCCCTGCAATCCCAAGGGTGTCTGTTTCTTTGGATCAGAGTGCAACACATTTTCTGAACCTTTTTTTTTTTTTTAACAGCAGTGGCAGAAAATCCTAGCTGTACTTTTGCCAGCTTCATAATTCAATCCTGAAACTGCCACAAAAACTGAGGCTAGAAAATGCACATTGTTGCTGGAGGTTAGGAAATCTAGCTTTGCTTTTTCAGACTGGAATAGTCTGGCAACGCTTAAAGTAATAATGGTAGGAGACTAAATAAACATTAATTTGGCTAGAATATATATCTGAATATAATTAGGGGGTGGAAAAACGTGTATAGTTTAGCTCTGCTGACCCAGAGCACCATAGTGTGGTGAGGGAACTTTCACAAGACTTTAACGCTGTTCAGGATTTTCAGATTTAGGAGTCCCTCCCTGGGTTTCCTCAGCTGGTGTAAATTCACTTTGCCTTACACGACTTAGCTTGTCCATGTTATATTTTAAATCAAATACATTGATTGTTAAGTTTCCTACAAAGGCATTTTATTTTTCTTTATAAAATCTAGAGACCAGAAAGAAAGTTAAGCCCCTACCTTTTATTTTAAAGCCAAAGCAGTAAGGGCCCCTCTCATTAGAGCTGAAGGTGCAACGTGCTCTTGATACCATTTATAATCTTTTGTAGCAGAAATGCCATTGGTTTAGCACAGGGGCATTGTTCCATGCTAGCTCTGTAACTTGTTTTAATTATCTAAGTTTTTCCTCTGTTCTCTTATTTTTTCAGATTTGCTCTGTCAGGAATGGATATGGAACAAAGAGACTATGACTCACGAACTGCCCTGCATGTAGCAGCTGCAGAAGGTAGTGTCTCCTCATGTGGGACTGGCTAGCTGTTAATGCAGTGTCAGTAGCTGTCTTTAGGATATCTTCACTTTCTGTATATCCATACCTGCTTTCTAAACCTTTCTATGTATGTATATACATATATATATATAT